ACATCGAAAGTTGAATTGATAATGAGCCTCCCTACCGCTCAAGGTTAATCTATTATTTCGGTCGTCAGTGATCCGGAACAGTTGATAACTTTTTTTAGTATATCTAAATACAGTTTTTCTATTATACTAAGCAATAATTTAATAGTTCTTACATTTCTGTCGCAAAGTTACACTTTCATGAATATGTTACAACGTTAAACGTAATATTTTATTAATTTTTTATCGGCTAGAACTGAGTTTACATTTTCGTGATATTAATTTTTAAATTATAGCTGCATCGATGTATATTAAATAGAAATTTATGTGGAGAGAAGTTATGTAGTCAAAAATTATATCAAGCGGTGATTAGTCGTCTCTTTAAAATAATCGCGCAATGTATAAAAATTTTTGCTCGTTTATTGTTGTTGTTTCAGAGAGCAAGAAATATGTGTATTATGTAATTGTCTTTTCCGTTATTGTAAATAAAATAATTTAATTATTTAAATGAATTATTCAAACCATGAAATAGACTACTCCCTCACCGATTTCGGTGATTTTTGTATGTATTGCGAAGGTATTTTTAACAGTTCTTTCTTCTAACGGGTACGTTGGACTTTATTCGTTCGGGATATCGATTTCTAAATGATATTTAAGGATTGTTGAAATTAATGAAAAAATGATTCATCGGCAATCAGAATGAAGGAAAATACGAACGAGCAATTAATTCAAATTCTTAATGCTAACATATAAAATATGAACATAAAATCTTAATACTAACATATGTATCATTAAGTCACTCATACTTCATATTATTTTTATTAATAATTTATAACAATAAATAATTTCGGCGGAAAATGCAACTCATTGAGTTCTCAACTCATTGAGTCTTAATAAATAACATCGTACTGTGAGAAAGAAAATATGTATATACATCGTTTAAAAAAATAAATTAGACTTCGAAATTTTGAAACGAATGAATTTTGCAAGAAATAATTTACAACACATAATGTGCTTCTTTATTGCAAACAATATTTGCAGAAATATTTTACTGATAAATCAAAATTTTCATAAAATCGAATTTACGGGATAAAGATAATTCGTTCAAGTTGTGAATTTACACATTTTTGTAAAGACACATTTGTAAATACATAAAAAGACGTCATAGTTAATTATGTTGTTCATAAAAATATTATATTTCAATCAATCTTTTCTAATACTTTTAAATAGGTGTTATAGTCAAATATGTACTAAGTTTTTCATCCCAATTTCCATTAGTCGTTGTTTTAAATTCGCTATTGTTTTATATTCCTTTATTGATGAAGAATACCATTCAATTCAATAAATAATTCTCGAAACAGATCTGGCAACACATTTTCATATTTTTTTAATTTTAATTTTCCCCACTAGTAGTGCTGTGATCGCAAAATGGATACAACAGGATGTGACACGAAAATGGTATAAGATTATGTCGATTTTATTACCATGGCCGCGAAAATACATGGTCATGCAATGTTTATTCATATATTCTTCGTCTGTGCCAACAATTCACAAATTACCTACAGAGCAACCACTAAACTCTTCCAGTACCAAAAGACCTCTGTCACAAACATCAGCCGATGACAAACCCAACTACATAAGCTTAAATGACAACTTCATGTCTTCACTAACCAATCTACATAAAAAAATTGCACTAAAACCACTATACTCCCAATCTCCAGTATTCGATGCCAAACTAGAGAAAATGCTGGCCCCAGAAATAATAAACAATAAAATTCCTATGCACAATCTAAACAACTCTCAAAAACCTCCTCTAAGACATCTTCGGATCAGCTCATCCAGTAGAAATCGTTAGAAACCGATAACAAACAATGACTACACTCATACGAACACTCGAAGAAATCTACCCTCCACTTAAAAGAGTGAATCATTAAAAACAGAATTTACCGACTCTGTAAAAAGCTTACTAAACCGATCGAAACACTTGAAGCAACATTTAGTTACTTATCAGAATCCGAATATAGAATTCTCATAAGAGGCAATCAATTTCTTATCCAAAACTTATCCAAATTCCAAATATGGAAGCAATAATACAATGGAACACAAATGGCTATTATACTCATTATGAACAATTCGAAATTCTCGTTAAAAAATTCAGCCCTGACATCATCTGCCTTCAAGAAACGTTAAACAAAAACCACGCGGAGGAGTGATCATTGTAATATCGAATAACTACGACTCCATCGAAATCCCATTAAATTCAAATTTAGAAGCTATCGTGGTAGCCATTTTATTCCCGAAAAAAAATCCATATCTGCAATGTCATTCCAAATAGTTTTCCCCTTGATTTGTAAGATCTTGAAGACTTGATAGTGACTCAAGTCTTGACTCAAATCCCAGCTCCATTGATCCTGTTCGGAGATTTTAATAGCCACTACGCTTTCTGGGAATCGATCGAAACAACCAGGATCTAATCTTGCTAAATACAGGTTCTTCAACGCACTCCAGTACTAGGAACGGTAAGACAAGTGCAATAGATCTAACTTTTTCCACTCCACAGCTCAATACCTAGAATGAGTAACTTTACAGGATCTATAGTGATCTGTCAGGGTTTATATAAGTATTTACTGAATA